GTCCCTGGGGGGACCTCGGGGCGGCGTGCCCTCGGCCGCCGCCGTCCTCGCCGCCGCCGCCGTCGTCATTGGTCCCCGCCGGTCGCCGTCGCCGCCGCCGCTGTCGTCCTCGCCGCCGCTGCCTCTGAGATCCGGGCGCCGCAGTGTTTGCACTCGGGGCGCCCTCGCCTGGTTCTGGGCCCTGGGGCCCTCACACACCGATCCACCTCGTGAGAGGCCCGAGACAGTCGGGGTCCTGGGGCTCCGGTCGTGCTTGCCCCGATGTTGCATGTTTTCGTGCCGTCAGCTCTCAGAGACCGCCGCCGTCATCCTTGGTCCTCGCCGCCGCCGTCGTCGGCGAGAGCAGCAGGGGGGGGGGGGCGGTCACACTGCAGCGCAGCGGGGAACCCGAGCGGCCAAGAGAGGGCGGCGGGTGGGCGGGCCTGCGTCAGCGCGCGCGGGGACCTCCGCGCTGCTGGGCGCTCCAGGGAGGCTCCCCGTGCTCCGCCAGGGTGCGGGAGGAGGGGGAGGGAGAAGGAAGGGGAGAGGGGAGGGATGAAGGGGGAGGGGGAGGAGGGGCAGGGGCAGCGGAGGCGGGGGAGGAGGGGGAAGGGCGGGGGGGGAGGGAGGGGGAGGGGGAGGGACGGGGGAGGAGGAACGATCGAGGGACGACGGTCTCCCAGCTTTTTGTCGTACAGTGGGGTCTTAGTCAGGGTATCTGTGTTTCTTCGCTCCTCGCGCTGCGCGGTGACGTCCCGCAGCCGTTGAAGGAGCTGCTGCGTTCAGGGTGCTCCAGGTTTCCCCTCAGGTGCACTTCGCGCACGGGTTCTCAGAGCTGGGTTTCTTGCGAGGGTTTCTTGCGGCCGCGCCCGCACTGTACGGTGCCGCGCGGGGCCCCGAGGAGATCCCCCCCTTGCGGTCGGGGGCCGCGCGGAACTGCGCACCGACCCCTCCTGGGAGCCCCCACGCGGCCCTCAAGGCAGCCCGTGCGCCGACGCTTGTCGTCGCCCCCTTCAGCCCTCCCTCCCTCCCTCGAGATCCCTCCCTCCCCAGATCTTTGATGTTACTATTAAGTCGAGCCTGTCCATCTACAGGAGGAATGTCTAGAAATAATTTAAGCAATAGTCCGGAAACAATGTTTCGAGCATTTTTTGTACTTTTTTGAATTTTGGGGTATTTTAAATGTTTCGTCCAAGATCCCCCTGTAGGGGGACACGTCCGACCTGATGATGCTGTTGTCCAGTCTGGGCAGTCGCCCCCGAGCGGGGAGCCCCAAATCTTGCACAGTGCCGACGCGCCGGCGCCCGTGCGGTCAGCAGGCGGCCATGCTCTGGAGCCCTGCGCGCCGCCACGCTGGTCCTGGGCAGTCTGTGCTGCCCGGCGGAAAGGGGAAGAGGACGGGAGGAGCAGGCAGACGACGACGAACTCGCAGGCGGGAGGCCAGGGTCGGCGGGGCGGGCGGACCGGCGGAAGAGGGGCCGGGCGGAGACAGCAGGCAGGGAGACGGATGGGAGGAAAGGGAGGGAGGCGAGGAAGAGGAGGAGAGAGGAAGCAACCGCGAGCAGACAGGCCAGGCCAGGAGCCAGGAGAGAAGGGCCACCCGCGACGAGGCTACGGACCCCACGGCGGCGACGCCTACCAATCGGACCAGGCGTAACGGTGGAGTGGGCGGCGGGCGTCGGGGGGGAGGGTCGTTTGCAGTCGTTGGGGAGGGCCGTCGGGATCGTCGAGGGGCGGCGTGGGGAGGCCGACCGAACCCAGCACGCTGAAACTTGGTGAGGAGAGCCCTCGGCGGGATCACCCACCGCCCCGCCGAGGAAGGGCCGGACGGCGTGCGTGAGAGGGGAGCGAGGAGCCGCCAGCGCGGGGGGCGTCCATGCTGCCCAACACGGGCGGGGGGGGGGGGGGCGGGGGGCGCTCGGCAGCGCCAGGGATGCCTCACAAGGCGTCCGCCGTGGAGGCAGCCGTCGCCGCGGCCAGACGGGCCGCTGCCACCCCCGCCCCTCCACACTACGTCTGGGGCCGCCGCAACACCGCCCGCGCGTTTTCCCTGCGCGGGGAAACGGAAAGTTGCTGGGCGCGTTGGTCCGCAACCACTGCGGCGTCTTCCCCCGTGGTGTCAGCCACCCGCCTGGCCAGGGCCCCGATAGCTCCGCGTGCCTCACGGCCCCGGCCGTTGTGGGCTTCCATGCCACATGGGGAGGATGGTGATGCCTGGTGCCGCGCAAGGCCGCGCGGTGTCCTGGCGTTGCTTTTTGAATTCCTCGCGCCGCTCCGTCACCGCGCTCGGCGAAGCGGCCGACGCGGCGCGGAGATCGGCGCGCAACCCGGACGTGGCGGCAAAGTCACAGGCTGCCGCCATGCCGTTGCGCCATCGTGGAAGGGCGTTGGCAGGGCGGCGGCCAGCGTCGCTCACCTGGGGCCCGCTACTTCTCGCGCGCGGGGATGGCCTCCCCGGCGGGGCACGGGGGCAGCGGCCCGCGGCCCGGGGCGCTCCAACTCCGCCCCGGCGTGGCCAGCGGCCAGGGTGTCGAAGCAGGCCCGGTTGCGCAGGGCGCTGGGGAGGCTGCCATGTTGGGGCGCCCACCCCCCGGCCCCGCCCGCCTCCCCGGCGGGGCGTGGTTCAAGCGCGCGCTTTCTTTCAGGGACTTCGGCCCCGGCCGATTATCCCGTCGAGACGGTCAGGCTCCAGCTCCAAATTCTGGCGAGGGGCATTAGCGCCAACAACTCGCGGCGTGGGCTCCGGCGCCCAATTCTGACGAGGGAAGTTCCCGTCGTTCCAGCAGTCTACGCCGTCAGGAAAGATGGCTTCCAGCGCCCTCGCGAGGGGCATCGGGCCCGGCGGCCCCGGGCGCGGGCTCCAGCGCCCAATTCTGGCGACGGGGTGCCGCCCCAGTAGATTACGCCGGCGAGACGGGCGGGCTGTCGTCTGAGAAGGCAGGGCGGCGACTCGCGCCCCAGCCACGAATGCTCTTACAGTCTGTCCAAAAACACCAGCAAAATTTTCACCAAACTGGCCAGTCAGGTGAATCTGGTCTGCAGTGAGAATGTCGAGCGCACGTCGACAAATCGGAAGCGCGCGCGCCGTTCGATGGGGCCCGGGCTCGGTCGGGCGGCAAATCGCGGGGGACTTTTCCAGCACCCTGGCGCATGTCAGCTCCATTCTGTTGCCGCTCAGTCCCGTCCAGTGCGGTTTAGCGCGGCGCGCGTTTTCTTCCCCCGTATTCTTCCGCCCCCAGCTTTCCCTCCGCCCCCCCCGCTTTCCTTTTTCACGTGGGGCCCCCGCGTCCTCCTTTTTCGCCCCGGGCCCATGCAGCCTGCGCGCGATGCCCAGCGAAGTTCCCTCCCGCTTGACAGGTCGCTGCGCGGGGGCGCAGAATCCGCGGCCCCATTTCGCGCGTTTTCGAACTCCCCGCGGGGGCGGCCAGATCCCACCAGAACAATGTCTCCCGGGGTCTCCCGTTATCCACTGGCCACCGGGCCCACCCCGTCGGAGCGGGGGCCGCAGTGCCCGAGGTGCTCGATCGCCGCTCGCAGTAGAGGGGCCTCATAGAGGAAGTTGGGAGGCAGTGAGCACGCAGCCGCGGCCAGGCGCTCGCTGGCCAGGGGGGGCCGGGGCAATTTCTTTGCCCTCGCAGCGCGTCTTGTAGACGCCCCCGGCACGCGCGACGCGTTGCGAGGCGCCTTAGCGGCGCCCCCTGCCTGCGCGCGCATCGCCAAGGAACGCCCTGGGCGGCCCTTAGCAACCTCGCGCCCCCAGGTTCGCGCGCCCAGCGCTGGCGCCAGTCGGGGGAGAAGGCGAGCTCGCTCGACGGCGTCACGGGCGCGCCTCGGCGCGCCATCTAATGCGCCCGCGAGCGACGCGGCGCGCTCGGACCGACGGTTCGGTTCAGTCAAGAGTCAAGGCGCCTTGCATCGGCGTGCAAGTGCTTGAAGCAGGTTCCGCGTGCAGCTCGTGATCGCCGGTTACCTGGCCAACCGCGCGCGAGTGGGCTTGCGCGCGCCCGGGGCCTTGGCCCGCGCCGCGCACGCTGGGCGGCGCGCGGCCCGCGCGCGCCGCGGCCGCCGCCCGCCGCCCGCGGCGCCCAAAACCCAGCTGGCCAGGTGGTTTCAACGCCCGGTCCAACTCGCGCGCTCCCGCGCGAGGGCCTTGCAAATCGCGCGCGCGCAAGACGGCGTGGGCGGCCCCGCCCCCAGACGCGCTCGCGCGGGCGCGCGCCCGCGCCCACGCTGACGCGCGCGCCCGCCCACGCGCGCGCCTTCGGATTCCGCCGCGACGTCCGCGCCCGCGCCCGCGCACAAGCGCGCTCACGCCCGCGCGATCACGCAGGCACCCGCGCACGCGCGCACGCGCGCGCTGACGCGGACATTTGCGCGCCCTTACTCGCTCCGCCCACGGGCGCGCGCGCGCGTTCCGCGCGCGTGCGAGCGCGAGCCCGCGCGCGTGCGAAGGCTCGCGCGCGCGCGCTCGCAAGCTTCCCCGGCCCCCGGCGGGCGGGGGCCCCTCGCCTGCCCCGCCCTGGCGCCGCCCCGCCCCCCGTAGACATTATGGCTCAAGTGAGCCGCGCTGCGGGGGGCCACGGCCGGCGCGTCTCGACAGGAAAGAGCGCGCGCGCTTTCGCGGTGGCTGCGGCGGCGGGCGAGGCTGCGGGTCGGCGAGGCCCGCGCGGGCGCTCTCGCTGTCAGGTGCAAGCAACATGTTCAGGGTCGCTTGGGCGACGCGCTGGAGCATGGGCGGCCGGCGGGGCCGCCGCTTGCCCGGGGCGGGGGGCGCCGCGAAGTCTGCGCTGCTTGCCGCGACGCTTGGCAGCGGCGATTGGGCGAATCGCCAAGCACCTTCCGGTCCGCCGCCCACGTCTGCCGCCCCTCGCGCCGGAAAGGTCTCGGCGGCGGAGGAGCCCCGCACCTGGCCGCGCGAGGCTGCGCACAAAGAGGAGGCGTTTCGTTCGTTGGCGGCGTCGGAACCGAGAGGTGCCACTGACGCGCGCGATGCTCATAAGGGGTGCACATGGCGCCTATGT